CTCGTTCGACCATGCCAGTCGTGGCATGCAGCGAGCGACTACTTCAAAACGGTGAGCAGTGCTTTGTGGGTTACGAGCCTCTTCACGTGCATCACTGAGGGACTCGCCCTCGATACTTTGGGCCTCGTCCGACCATGCCATTCTTGGCATGCAGCGACTGCTCTGATACTTAGGCAGCGCTCAGTGGGTTACGTGCCACTCCACATTCAGCTCGCGAGCCATGTTCGGGACTCCTGTCCGACACACCTCTGGTGTTCGACAACTCGGATACTCCGAAATCCAGCACATTGACCATCCGGGTCGAGTCCCCGCGCCAATAACGCTTCTGCTTTCTAGCAGAGGTGATTTTAGGACTCATCAAAGCTCCACCAGGAGACGTGCGCGTAGCACCCAAGGTCTTCGACTTCCAATCAATCCATGACTCATGGTGTTCCAATCATGCCATACAAAGGATAAGGTCATAACTTGAATCCGAGTCTTAGACTAAACAGCATTCCACGATATCAACGACAAGGAACTTAACACCGTGGTCCACAAGGACTCTCGGCACAGTGACACATGTCTCCGTCGCTAAGCGAACATTGACGATGTCACTCAACCGCGCTTTCAGCGCCTCGGCATACAGCTGACATCCTTCGATTGTGGAGCGTCGAGCATAATTGTCCAACCTCCCGGAGTCGATCAGAATCTTTCACGGCTTCTCTAAGCCCCTCACGGTCTCTTTCACGACCAGCAAGCCCGGCTTGCATACACGCTCCGTGTTTAAAAGCACGGAGCTCTTCGGGGCTGAGCCCTGACCTCTCCCTTATTAAGGCTCAACAAAACTCACTTTTTCCCCAGTTGGGCGCCCCGCAACAACTTGATGTTGTCGTTTCCATGCGACAATTCAGAAGGCTGGTGAGAAGATGCACATCGGTTCAATGATCCTTGACGCGCCTTGCGCAAAGGACAACCAGTCCGAAGATGACGGGTGTCTCCACATACGAAACACCGTCGGGTGTTTGAACGCCGCCCGGCTGCTCGGAGTTCTGCCTCCTCTTTCCCGGCATAGCTGAAGACCATTGGCTCAGGCCCGCTCAACGAGCTACTACGGTGTGCATTCCAACCAAGTTGTACCAACTTATATTTAAATTTGGCATTCGATGCCACTTTCACCGCTTCTTGTAAAGAAGACGGATGCACACGGAAGACTTTCATTCTGGCCTCGCCAGCGTGGAGGACCTTCATGAAGACACCACCTCGGAGAGAGGATCGGCTGCCACCCCGGCAATAAGAGTTCACAATCCTTGGACAAACTCCACCAACTATTTCTTGCCCTGTCGGGCGGCAAAAAAACGCGTTCGCACGCGATCTGATTTCTTAGGCGGCGAGAAGACTCGCAAATGCTGACGCTTCTGCTCCTTCCAGGAGGGGAACACAGTTCCAACCAATCGGGAAAAGTCATCCGTCTTCGACGGTGGCGTCATGGACGCAGTCGACAATGAAATCTTCTGCTGTAGGTGCGCTCGTAGAGCATTTTCATTGCTAAAAAACGTCTCTAGGCGCGCGCTGACCGCGCCAAGTCCTTGCGAAGCGAGGTGTTGCACGCCCTTAGGGCCAAGCAGAGCTTTTTAAGACCGTCCTGCATGCCCTGGGGTGAAAAAGAGAGCTGCTTCATCCTCACCGAGGATCAGTCGTAACGACTGACTACAAGTGCTACCAAGTGCAGCGGGGCTGTCGTAGCACCTTCGCTTAGAGGAAGCTAAGCTGAGGTCGGTGACCTTTGTTCTGAACTTATAACCATTACGGGTGTAGCGGATTGCAATTCGCTTACTCAGGAGAAACATAACCTTAACCCAGGGCAAATAAACGCTTCCGCTCAAAAAATAACTGTATATCTTTTTGTTTGATATGCGGCAAAACCGCCTATATCTAAAGCTATAGATTTTTTTATTACATAGTAAAACCTTATCAAAATGCATATCTACTGGCAGTTCAGCCACGGAGTAGCCTCTTGTTAAGGTGTAGGACACCATTGTACGGTCACACTATCTTGTGTGACCCACCCCTGCATACCAGGATACGTCTAACCCGTATAGAATTTCACTTGTGGCTTCGTCGCATAACACCCTTATGACGAATCTGTAATTGATACCTTTGGAGCCTTCGGGTACCGCTTGCTCTTTCGGCGGTCACCCGTCGTAAGTAATTGCGCAACACTTTTAAATGTGACAGAAATTTCATCAGCTCCAGAAAGCTCGAAACGCCGGAGTTGACAGACAGCAATCTCATGTTGTCGATAAAAGTTCGCTTGATTTGGGGCTGTAATTATTATTCTCTACTTTCACGAGGTACAGTAGAACCAACCCTTTTCAATTGATCGCCCTGCGTCCAACGAGACAAGACGTTTCCCTGGGAGGTATTTGGTCGGACAACTCTGTGTAAGAGCCTGGAACTTTGAATCTCATTCCAGAAGAGAAGGGGACAAAGCGCAATTTTTTAGATGTATTTGTTACGGACTCCACTGTGCTGCTCGGTGGCTAAGCTAAATTTCCCTTCTCTCTTGACACGACTGAGTTCTGTCGCATGCTGCGCTCATAATGCTTCTACATCCCTTAGTCTGATTGGTCCTCACGACAAGAAAATTGTACTGCGCACTCAATGTGAAATCCACCGCATCGTTAGCAGTGGATGCGTGATGCGGGAAGTCTGGTGCAAACAATACCTGTATGGAGCCCCCCTAGCCGTTTCCACCTCTGGGTGAGTATCTACCACCTGCTGTCGAGAGTTAGCAACTTTCGCACCCAGTTCAATAGTCTTCGCTTCCCTTGACGAAAAAAAGAGTTTTTAGCATTTATAAACAAGTCCTCCGATACTTCTCAAGCTAGAAATGCCTCTTGAAGCTTTGCACTCAAGTTCTTATTCTCGTCCACGGCCTCCATTCATGGAGTCTGATCCCCCAACACGCTTATGCTCCATCTGAAGCATGATTAATTTATGGTCCTATAACCAGAGAGACATTCACGCGATTTTCCTTCGGAGGTCTCGACATTCAACTTCAGCGAGCTAAAGTGCGAGCTAGTCGTGCTTCCACCGCCACAATGTTAAGGCATTTCTGAAGGTTCTGGCCAGCGCCTAGCAAGTGACTTCCGGAAAGCAAGTTCCGCTTCTGATCCCTGGTTCACCAATCGCCACTTTTTTTAGACAAATGATTATCTTGAACTTACTAAGTAAGTCTGGTTGCACTGAGACTGACTATCGAGCAACTCTTGTTTCATTCTCGCGTCTTTTAAGCCTCCATTTGACGACAAGCGCTACTTGGTACGATTGAAATGCCGTGTACTCTGCACAGAGAAAACTTTGACTTAACCTTTTTTGCTCACAACACCTAGTGCTAGGATTTGTAAGCTCCACCAGGCGTGAAGCAGAAAGCTTCTCGAGTAATTAATCACATAGTCTGCTCGTTTGATCAAATCCGATGCTATGTTCATCCAAAAAACGATATGAACTACATAATGTGGGCCTTACAGCTCAAATTTTCTGTACAGAGTCCCATCACCCTTAATATCTGAAGTCTGAAGGGAATGGTGTTATATAAATTCTGATCATAACAATTGTCTTTAAGAAATGAGCTTCATGCGCCAAGTTTGCTACGCTGTGGTTGAAAGCCGAGACATGCAGATTTTTATGCGATGACGAAGGAGGAAAAAAATCCGCAGGTGATTGAATGTTAGCGTACGCAATCAATTTACCTATCGGCTTTTAAGATGATATTGTGTCTTCGCTGTATTCGAACACTTACAAGTGAAGCTGGATTGACTTGAGTTACACTTTAAACTCAACCAAGCGATTGCGAACAAGTCCTAAACTTGCAGACTCGGTATGAGATTTCGTTTGCGCGCATGAGAAGGCCAGAAAAGATGAGATCAGTGCGATTGCTATCAAATTGAACAATTTACCGGTCGACATGTACATATGCCTGACTTCTGCTGAAGTTGTATTGGATAAATCGTAAAAAGCGTCCACGACATAGATAATAGGTGAGCAAAATGTTTTGAATGCAGGTATCGACGGTGACGTCGTCAATGACGGATTTGATCTGCGCCGTCTTTGATGTAGTGGATATCCGAAAAAATTCTCATTCCAACGATCTTGGGACATTGACAATTGCTCTTATAAAAAATTATTTTGTCGGACAAAGTCATGATTGCCATTAATATGATCGGTCTTGTAATGGCAGGTCAAGTAGTGCATTCACCACCTTAGGTTTGCCCTTCAGGCTCTACGCGCAGTTCACTTGCTCGGACGTCGTAGTATAAGTTCTGAAGGAAATTCTCACCGAATGCAATGAGCTAAACCCCACTTAATGTCTAAATTCGGAAATGATGGCATTAGGCATATCAAGAAAAAACTAAAGTTTAGATCGCGCGATGTGCGACAAGAATATGAATTGTGGGAATGCCGAAAATGTCAAGAAAGCTTCCAGCAAAATTATTTACAGTGAGCATATCCCCCGGATTTCGATCTGATTCGGAAAGAGCTGGTGTTGTACTCACAAAGTGAAATTACTGATAATTGGGACTCATCTAGAGTAGGAAGATATGTATGTGTGCCGGATTGATACTTCACAAATCGCGCAAATGACCTTGCCAAAATTGATAAAGGCAGCCCTCAAAACCATAATGTACGCTGCCACGCTATAAATGGCTATGAATGTTCTAAGGTCAGATTGTGCTTAATTTCCGCTTTAGTGCTTTCGGAAATTAAATTGGTCTGAAGTCTAAGATAGTGTGTCAGTAAGTTTGCGAACACATATGCACCAAAACACAATACCAAAAAGCAGCAGCAGAGAAATAAGGAGCTTGGAACAACAGGTTCAAATTTCTACATCTGCAAGCAAGTGAAATCAAAATTTGCTGTGACTAAATTTCAGTTTTTTAATCATTCGAATTGTTATTCTTGGCCAATCACCATTTTTCAGGTCTCTGCTCCAGTCAAGAGACATATATTTCTACCAGGTCATGCCACAACCCACACCATCAGCTCTTACTCAGGCCCCGGCTGACGCCAACAACGAAGCTACCGAGGGTTTTAGCGGCTCAAGATCATTTCAAGAGCTTGGCGTAGACTCGACTATCTGCGAAGCCATCGAAGCAGTGGGATGGACAGCACCGAGCAAGATTCAACAAGAAGCCATTCCACACGGTCTTGCAGGCAAAGACATTATCGGATTAGCCGAGACGGGCTCTGGCAAAACAGGAGCATTTGTAATTCCAATTCTACAAAGTCTATTGCAGAAGCCACAGCGTTTATACGCGCTAGTATTGGCCCCGACGCGAGAGTTAGCCTATCAGATTGGAGAGCAGTTTGAAGCACTTGGCGCATCCATTGGACTCAAATGTGCCTGCGTCGTTGGAGGAATCGATATGATGCAGCAACAGGTAGCACTGGCTCGTAAGCCTCATATTGTTATTGCTACACCTGGTCGCCTTGTGGACCATCTAGAGAACACAAAGGGCTTTAGTCTTCGCACTATGAAATATCTTGTATTGGATGAGGCCGATAGGATGCTAAGCATGGATTTTGAAGAGGAAATCAATCAAATTGTGCAGCTCATGCCAGCTGAACGCAACACGTATCTTTTCAGTGCGACAATGACGTCCAAAGTGCGAAAATTGCAACGCGCGTCACTTAAGGAACCAGTGAAGGTCGAGATTACTCATAAGTTTGCCACTCCCGAGACACTAAAGCAACACTATCTATTCATTCCGGCCAAATACAAAGATTGTTACTTAGCGTATTTATTGAACGAAGTCGCTGGACAATCTGTACTGATTTTTGCCAGCACGTGCAATGGAACACAAAAAGTGACGCTGATGCTGCGCAATTTGGGCTTTCAAGCTATTTGTCTACATGGACAAATGCCTCAGCCAAGTCGTCTTGGCGCACTAAACAAGTTTAAAGCCAAAGCCAGGAATGTGCTTGTGTGCACTGACGTGGCGTCTCGTGGTCTGGATATACCAAGCGTCGATGTTGTCATTAATTATGACATCCCTACACATGGAAAAGATTACATTCACCGTGTCGGACGAACGGCTCGTGCTGGCCGCGCTGGTGTTGCGATCTCATTTGTGACGCAGTACGATGTTGAGCTGTACCAGCGAATTGAGCATTTGTTGGGCACGAAGTTGAACGCGTATCCGTGTGAAGAAGAGACGGTTCTAGTCATGCTAGAACGTGTGAACGAAGCGCAGCGTATTGCCACTATTGAAATGAAAGAAGCAGCTGCGAATGGAACGGGTACCAAGCGTGGACGGCACTCGCGCGATGACGATGAGGAGGACAATAATGAAGAAAGTGACAAACGGTACAAATCGGCTAGTCGTGTGCCGAAGGGAGGTCGTGGTGGCCGGGGAAACAGCCGAGGACGAAATCGAGGACGTGGTGGTAGAGGCAAGCGACATAATTAAAACAAGCACGGAAAAATAGAAAAGGTTTTGTTTTTGTCCTCGCTATTGAAGGAGGTGTGCCTGAGCTAACCTCTTGTAAACTTATGCTGTCATGCTCATCGGATTTCGCTCCCAACGCTAAGCCGCAACATCAAGTCTGTCCCTAATCGACTGCCACAGTGACCTTTTGTACTTGGAAAAGCATTCCAGAAACGTAAGGTTTGATCACCCGCCCCTGTTACGATCGTCTGTCCGTCAGGTGACATGGCAAGGTAAAGCACGCGAAACGTGTGTCCCGTGAGCGTTGCGAGCTTGGCCATGTTTGGATACTTCCACACAATGATTTGATTTAGCGAATAGCCGTGTGTGCTGACGACTTCATTTGCGTTTTTTGACCACATAAGATTGCACACTTGCGAACCAGTGTCGATGTGAGATAATGGAGTCAATGACTGTGTGTTCCAGTAACGAATGCACCTGTCTGCTGTACCACCACCGGAGGCCAAAAGTCCATGTTGATGTGGCGACCATGCAATTGCTTTCACTGCCGCTGAATGTTCGTCAAAGCGCACAAGAGGCATCGTGGCATCGCTGGTGAGACCTGATGACATGGTCTGTACATCCCAAATCAGCAGTTTGTTGTCATTGCCTCCTGTCGCCAATTGCCGTCCATCAAAAGACCATTTCAAACCGCAAACTTCTTGCTTATGACCTGCCAATTTGTTCTGAAATTCCTCCTGCGCTCGTAAGTCGCGCACGAGGATACTACGATCTCGACTTCCGGATGCCAATAATTGGCCGTTCCAGCCTAAAGCTCCTACGCGAGCTAAGTGACCTCTGCCAAGTTGTAAATAGCCATGAGTTTTTAGTTTCAAACATGAAGGATACTGTATGCGTACGTCATAGTGCGAATTTTTTTTGCAGCACTGACGTCCCAGATCTGCACCTCTCCACTGTTGGTTCCGACCGATAAATGTGTACCCTGGAAACCATAACCAAATCTCAACTTAGCTGCGCGAGTAGTAAACCACGTGTTTAATATAACACAACGTTAGACTTACGCGATGACTCCAACTGACAGATGTGACGACATCGTTTGGCCCAAGATCACAAAGTACGGTCACTTTACCGGTGCAAGCACTCCAGAGATAGACACACGAGCTGAGACCAACGGCAACAACATTTGTGGTAGACCAGTCTACAAGGTTAAGGTAAAAATCGTCTTGCAGCGATGGCGCATCCAGCACTTTGAACGGTGTGCGTGCAATTCGTCGATGCTGAGATCCTCTCTCTTGAAGGTTATCGCTAAGAAAACGATGTGAAGAGGCTGAAAGTCCCAACTGAGGAGTATACATTCTCATATCTCCGTACAATGAAGGTCGTGGAGCTTTAAAGCGCAATGTATTGCCGGATGAGCTGCGATTCTGTGTTGTGCACGTGTTGCCATCATATATTGGAGAGTGCCGTGGGTCATGAATTGTACGCGTTTGATCGTGAGTTGATGCGCTCGATCCTGCAAACGATTTACTGCCGCCCAAAGTCGTATGTTCAATTGAATGGATCCCCAAAAGCTCACGTCTAAGCATTATTGAGTAAGGAGATTGGGTCGATATTTCTGACTGCTGGTTTTTCGAACTGTTATCCCCAGCAGGAAGCGTGGTTGTGATTAAACCACCTTGATGTCCGTATGTTCCATCATTAAGATTTTGGTTGCTGGATTGACATGGCGAATCGGCTTTTAATTCAAATCCATTGTCGAGCTTTGTGGTTAGCCGTGATGGAATATATCGATCACTATAAATGTTCTTTGGTCTGTGATGTCAAATATTTTAGCGCTATTCACGATGTTGGATGTACGAGGTGACAAACCTTTTTGAGATGAGATGAGGTAGAGTCTGGCGATTTTCGTGTAAATGCCTCGACAGTCGCAACTCGTATGGACAATGACTAGTGAATCCCTGTACAGCAATGCAATCTGTATCCATGCTGCTTATCGACTGCTCAGTTGCCTTTTCTTTTCCAGTCTGCAACCACAGTTTTCAAGGACAAAGGTCGTGTGTTTTTCGAAAGGGGTTTTGTTTGAAAGCAAAGCATGCCGAAAATATCACATTGGGATTAGGCTTGGCTTTACAATTTCACTGGAAAACTTGCAAGTTCTGAGAACACAGCACAAGAAGAGGCCTCCTAACGGCTCTCATGGTGGGAGAACGTCAATCATTTTCTGAACTGCTTTCAAAACTAAAGCATTGTCTCAATCAATAAAGATGGGATCCAGAACGCGACCTTGACGTATTTGACCGATCTCACCGTGAGGTGACAGCCAGCATAAGCTAAATCGTTAAAGCTATGAAACAACCTTGAAACCGAAGTTTGACGTAGCTGGGACAACAGCATAGTTATATCAATTAATTTTGCGCGTAAGGAGATTATTAAATTCAAAAGTGTTCCTTGCATAATGTATGCGCTTTTTTACTACGCTAAATAAATTCTCGAGATTCCGCAAGAATACTTTCGTGCAACCTAATATTTTGGCCAAAATTTAGCCATCTGAGTCGTTACCCTGCGCTCCTAATTGAAGCTGCAGCTGCTTGCGAAAAGACGTGATGGCTTGCTGGTCAATCTCATCGTTTATCTCTTCGATGCTCTGTCCACGTCCACACTTGTCTGCGTAAAGCAAACACGCAACACCACAGTCAAATCCACTGACCTGCTGCTTGTTTGTAATAGCGCTCTCAGTGCGCTCTAACCAGCATTTGTCTTGTGGGTAACACACATCGAGCCATTCAATTACGGCGCGGGGCACTGATCTATACGAAATTCCAGACCTTGACGCTAATCTTCCCATCGGCTCAAAAAGCTGTAGCTTTGGTATGGGGTTCAACTGTAAGCGGAACAAGTTCCAGTGAATTTGATCGACGTTGACAATAAAAATCAAAGGTTTCTGACGATTGTAATTCACGATGCAACCCAGTACGTCTCGTACGACATAATCTCGCTTTGTTCGCTGACCCTGATATCTCCGTTGCCATGGAGACCCTGTTGCATTCAATGCCGCCTCCAAATGCAAGTGGTAAAAGGCTGTAGGCAGAAAATGTACCGCTTTGTACAAATTCGCAAACTTCCAGAGCACTAAGTCGATGAGCGTACCCGTAATCCAGCTGGAGTCGTCAACGCGATCTTCTGGCCCAAAAGCTGATTGGAGTACTCGAAATCGTCGTCTCGTGGCTTCTTCAAGGTCTTCTTCAGTAGTAGAAAGCCGACATTTTTTTCTAGCCACTACATTACGACGAGGGCGCACACGAGTGCGGTCTCGGCGAACGGAAGAACAATGACGAGCAATTTTGTCATTTTCTGAATTAAGATCGCTCTGCGAATTAGAATTTCCATTTTTACGTGTATGTGATTTTCTCTCTAATAAAACCGGCGGTGATAACGCAGCGAGAGACCCACACGGAGAAGCAGAGCTGTAAGTCTTACGGGAGCGGAGTTGCATGTTGTTTCGACGCGACAGAAATTTTGTGCCCACGTGACGTGGTGTGGTACACGTAATATTCTACTTGTAAGATCAAACATTTCAAAATGGCAACCTCTTCATTTGAACCAGGCACGGTTGAAGCCTCACAGATCCATGCACTGAAGCAGCGCGTTCGTCATCGTACCACAAGCGATGGAAAGTCTACGTATTTTGGCAAATATGTCTCTCAGGAGGGTTCCGAAAAGTTGCGAACATACGAGTACCACGGAGCTGATCATTCCCTCGTGTACAAGTATGTGCTGACACCTATGAACAATTTCCTGGTCGAGCTATTGCCACTCTGGTTGGCCCCTAATCTCATCACACTTATCGGGCTCATTCTTGTCGGTGGATCGCACACACTGTTTATATTTTTATGTCCGCTCTTAGAAGGCGAAGTCCCGTGGTGGGCCATGGTGATCGCTGCTGTCACGCTCTTTGGATATCAGACATTGGACAACTTGGATGGCAAGCAAGCGCGACGCACTAACTCATCGTCACCGTTAGGTTTGCTCTTTGACCATGGATGCGACGCTTTGAACATATCAGTTGGAACTATGACCATGGTCAGTATCATGCAGATGGGAGCCACGTGGAAGACAGTGGGATTTGTACTCAGTGGCCATTTTGTCTTTATCTTTGCGACGTGGGAAGAGTGAGCTATTTTGTAAATTAAAAACATATCTATCCGAAGCTGACAAAAATTCGTGACTGGTGTGCAGGTACTACTCTGGATCGCTGGAGCTTCCAATATTTAATGGTCCGACTGAAGGCATTTTGATTGGGATCGCGTTAAAGTTGTTCACTGCAATTGTTGGTGTCGACTTTTGGAAAGAGGAGAGTATTGAAGGTGTGCAAAACAACTCGTTGTTTGTCATCGTCACAATGATAGGCTCGTGCTTTACACTTATGATCAAGTACGTTTCAACTCCATGCTTGCTCTTCCACTGTGTTAATGATGCGGTTTTCTGTCCTTTCTTTTAGTGTTAGGAACACAATGCATGCTGTGCGCCTGAACCAGGATTCAGTTCTTGTAGCTTTCACACGACTTCTGCCATTCGTCATTTTAAACGCACTTGCTGGCTTTTGGGCTCTGTTCTCGCCTTCTGACATTTTTTCACAACACCCTCGCATGTTTTTGTGGATGCTTGGACTGCTTAACAGCAAATTGGTGGTTCGTACACGATGTTGTGTATGCATTATGAGGTGTGCTTACACTTTGATGTTATTTTTTAGCTACACTTGATGCTAGCACACTTATGTGGCGAGGAATATCACCCGTTTCGTAAAACCCTTGTGCCAATTTTTTATGTGGCTGGGCATTGTGCTTTTTGCATGTTGGAAGGTGTTTATGACGCCGTGAACGAAGAACTGATTGTGCGTGAGTTTTTTTTTCTCTCCCTTGCCGCGTACGTGCACATTGTTTTCACCGTCGTTTGGGAGGTTAAGAACGTGCTGGGTGTCTCTGTGTTTTTAATTCCGCATTACTCGAGATTGAGAGCCCAAGAGAGCAGTAAGCCAGCAGCGAAATCATCGTAGCACATTTTAAGAAGATAGAGGCATCCCTATGTGAAATATATGAAATTTGGCTTACTTAATAAAGTGTGTAAATTTTCAAGCGAAATTATATCGCATCCCTTAGATTTTGTCGCACATTTTTTTTCGATATATTGCAATATATTGCTTGGGGCGTCCAAAGGTCAAGCTATCTAGATGCGCCGTTGTAATATTGGCTCATAGTATATTTACGAAACGAGAAACGTAAGTGCCCAGCTAGATATCTATATTCATCGACGTAGATTTGAGCTCAGAACTATATTTAAAAATCTTCCAAACAATTTTTGATATTGACATTAGAATATTGGCATGACAATAAGATGAAAGGACATGTAAGAGTTCTAGTCCACTGTCGAAGAAGTACACTTTCTTATCATTACTCACCCTGTACATGACGCTCGATCTTGAGCATATAAAATTAATAATTCTGTTATGATGTGCAGACGGGCAACCAAATTCGATCGAGACACTGCAGCGGGGCTGCCGTAGCAAAACGCTTAAAGAAACGTACTTTAGGTCACCTACCTTTCGTTCTTTCAAGAACCAAGTACTAGTGCAGCGGATCGCAATCCGCTGCCTCTAAAAGTACTTGAAA